GGGTTTCAAATTAAACTTAAAGAAATGTTCTTTTGCAAAGGAATCAGTTGTGTATCTCGGTCATGAAATAGGAGAAAATTTAATAAGACCCCTAAATGACAATTTAGTTGCAATAAAAAAATTTCCAATACCACAGAATCAAAAAATATTAGACAGCTTCTAGGCAAGATAAACTTTTATTTAAAATACATTCCCAACGCATCAATAATATTAGAACCTTTTCATAACCTACTTAGGAAAAATGTTCAGTTTGAGTGGTCTCAGAAGTGCGAAGATAGCTTCAATAAAATAAAACAATATCTAAGTTCAGAGCCTATACTAGCGATCTTCGACCCGACACTTTCAATATATATTTTTACAGACGCATCTAAAGAAGGAGTCGGAGCAATCTTAAAACAACCGCAAAAAGATAATTCTCTCAAACCTGTATTTTACTTTTCAAAAAAAGCTGACTTAGTCACAAAAAAATAAACGTGCTATTTTTCTAGAATGTCTGGCCATAAAAGAGTCAATACTATATTGGCAATACTACTTGATGGGTCATAAATTTACCATTTTCTCAGACCATAAACCTCTTGAAAATTTCAATGTAAAAAAAGCCAGGACCCAGATTTGTTACCTATACTAAACTTTATATCAAACTTCGATTTTAACATAATATACAACCCCGGAAAGAATAATATAGAAGCAGATAGCCTTTCACGAAATCCGGTTTTAGAAAATAACAATAATAATGAATCTACTATTAAAACAGTAAACTTTGTATCGTTGGATGATGTAAAGAACAACCAAAAACAATTACACACTGAAAATGAAACGTTTCAAACTGAAAATAACATTTATTTTAAAACTATGAATAATAAAAAGAAAATCTGGATTACAGAGGATTTCGGTATAAACCTGATAAAAAAAATCCACAGTAACAGCCACATAGGTGTGAAACAAATAACCCTAACTTTGACACCGACATATTATTTTAAAAACATGCACAAACATATAAAACTCGTATGTCGAACATGCGACACATGTATAAAAATAAGTCAAGATTCGGAAATTTTATTCAACCCCTGTCTCAACTAGGTCCAGCTACGGAACCGTTTCAGATAGTATCTTTGGATACAATAGGAGGGTTCGGAGGTAATAGATCACCAAAAAGATACTTGCATTTAGTAATAGATCATTTCACTAAGTTTGCTTTCGCGCTAACATCAAAAACTCAAACGGCAAAAGATTTTATTAATTTAGTAAAAAAAATACAAAAAAAAATACAAAATTAAATTACTTTTAACAGACCAATATTCCGGTATAAACTCCAATCAATTCAAAAACTTTCTGAAATTCGAAAACATAAAATACATATTTACAGCTGTGGATTGCCCTTTCTCAAACGGGCAAAACGAACGTACAAATCAGACTTTAGTTAACTCAATAAGGTGTAAAATTTCAGAAAATAGACACAGACCGTGGAGTATTATAACCGAGCAATGTATTGAAAATTATAATAACACTGTACATAGCACAACAAAATTTACACCTAGTTATCTTTTAAATGGTATTGATATTTCCTTTCTACCTCCTGAATTGAACAAAAACAACTTAGAAAACTTGACAGAAAACAGAGAAATAGCATTCTTAAATTCTAAGAAAATTCATGATCAAAACAAAATTTTGTATGACAAGAATAAAAGGCCTTTAATATATCAAGAGGGAGATTTGGTATACATTCAAAACACGAGTCGCTTAAATCGAAACAAGCTGGATCCAATTAGAGTGGGCCCTTTTAAAATAAAAAAGAAAATTTCAAATCTATTATATATCGTAGATTCAGGTTTCAAAAAGAAGGAATCAAATATTTTCCACGCAAATAAAATGATCCCTTACTGTCCTACTCCTGAATACTATCTTTCCTAAGAGGGGGCGGAATAGGGGGGATGTAGGTTTGACTTGAGTCAAACCAACGCAGCGCACGCGCCGGCATCGTGATATCGGAGGGGAGCGAGAAGACAGTGCGAGCGGCGCTGCCAAGCCGACAGTACGCACGATATGTACTATAAGATTATAACCTCATAGCTCGCGCCTTTGACACTGTGTAAACAAATAGTGATTGTACTTGTTGTTGATTCAGGTATTTAGCATTACATCGTCTTTGTAAACATATGTCTCCTGTATGTAACGTGTATTATTCATAAGTACTAATGTGTTTTGTGATTAAACTTGCAGTTATTACTCGCATCAACAGCCGTACTTATTGCCATATCCCACCTAAAGGAAAAAAAAGTCGTGATTTCCGACTTACAAAGATATAATCCACGGTAGCTCAAAGTCGAAGTGCTCGCCGTTAACACGAGCAACCCGGGTTCGATCCCAGCCGACACCAATGAAATTGTTATTTTGAAGAATTATCTTTACATTATGAAACAGAATAAATGTATATCAAACGAAATCTATTTCATATAATACATATTTTTCAATTCGAACATATATTACTTACTCCTTTCTAGTTGTTACCTTGACGTTGTGACATTCTAAAAGAATTAAATAATTTATACATATTAGCTTCCGATATCATGGCTAGATTGGATATAAGTTTTTATATATACTATGTCTTAGCACTAACTTCATAACCTATTATGTGGAAATTATTTTATTCTTTTAGTTCCAATAGTATCAAGATGATTCGTGCTAGACACCACTGCGCTTGCCACACCTCGAGCAGTCACGCACACAGAGAACATTGTAGTGTGCTTCATTATTACGCAGTTCCAGAGCGATTTTGACTTGCGCAAAGAAATATTTTTAGGTGAAACTTCTTTAGGCCTAACTTCAGGATAACTTGTTTTTTTTAATTTAGATTATCTAGTCTTGTGGATTATTATCTACATTATTATCTAACATATATTAAGTATCCCCTTACGTCACCCACAGGATGAGATGTGGTGATGGATTTCTTACGCTATCGCCACTATCATTATCTATCACAAGATGTTCAAATAAAATATTCCAGAATTTAAAAGGTTGAAGTAAAAATGCTTAAATCAAGAAATCAGCAATTTATTTCGTTTAAGTGCGACACGTAAGTTAATTTAAATATAACTACCTCCTAGGCAAGGGCCAACCGTGAAATTATAGAAAAAATGGAAATTGTAAGTGACAGAAGCGCGGATGGATTTAACATTTCGGAACGGATGAGGGTTCGTAACGGGCGAAATTTGAAAATGGAATTATTTCCCTGGATTAATCTATTTTATTCGCGACTCGCACGTTGACTTTTTAATTACTTGAGTTTTGTTTGCAACGCGACTTTTTTGGAAAACTAGCTCCCTGATGTGGCGTTATTTCAAATACAAAATAATGAAAGCCGTTTAATTGTGCCATTATTCGTTTTTTTTTTTTATAAATTCTCTAAGGTTTTCGGATAAAATATAGCCTAGTTAAAATAGAGCTCTGTCTTTTATCTGTTTATGAACTTTGATTAAAATCTGTTCAACTATTCAAAATATTATCCTGAACAGACAGAAAGCAAATATACAGTCAGACAGGTGCAAAATTAAATAAATATTTTTCATGTGTAGGCATGTAAATAGCCCCCTTAGCTTAAAATAAGACAGTTATTTTGATATTACAAATGATATGAATATGCAAGATATTTTATACTCGTATGCAAAACGATTGTTATATAGTCGCTACATATACTAATTTATACCTTCTCTCAAGTGATTGTCAGGAATTTATAATTAGTAAAATCTGCAATAACTATTGAAAAAACGTATTTGTAAGCTATATTCGTAATTAAAAATTACTATGTATCAAATGTGCTCGATATGTCAGCCATTCTGTTTATGCATGCAACTTCTTTAATCTGTACATATTTTATTTCTATTGCTAAATAGCAACAGCTTTTATATTTATCTCTTTTGTAATGTACAGTGTTTATTAATTTACTTTTGTATACCAACGTAAAATAGATAGAAAACCTGAAATCCTTTTTGCTTGAAATGTGACATTCCATCTTCGTAGGAGGGCAAAACTGAAAGGTTATAGAACTGGCCGCTTGTAAAGGATATAATAAAAAATAAGTTCAAATTTTGAAAATGGAACTTTTTGTCATTATAATTGTGTATGTATATTATTATTTGTCATTTCTTTACGATTTGGAGTTAAACATTGAAAATTGTCTGGGTCACATCAGCGTGAATTTAACGCGAGAAAATTTTCGTACTGCATTGACATGCTTTCAACGATGTGTCTTACCTGGATTGAAGAGCACCTCCCGCCCTTCCTCAATTGCATGCACCAATCCCGTCACCACTAACCCCAGCACCACTACTCCCAACACCACTACTCCCGGCACCATTACTCCCAATACCAATATTCCAGGAAAGACACACCATCGACGATAATACGACACGTTTCGCCTCTACACGAGGCATCGTCAGGTGATGTAGACTACGGCGGCTGACCGCCGCGAGTGGTGCTGGGATTAGTGGTGACGGCCTTGGTGCATGCAATTGAGAGAGTGCGGGAGGTGCTCTTCAATCCAGGTAAGACACATCATTGTATTTAGTTAGCGGAAGGTTGCAATTTAATTAATATCTTTATTATAATGGATTTCCGCAAAGCAACACCTGATTCTATCAATTATCTTTTTACAATTCAGATCAGACCACCGCAGTTTAAGCTATTTGTCATCTATTTAGCGGCAGTTTCAAGTAAGAGAGTAGTAGACGTAAAATATATGAGACGGATAGTAGCATCAACGATGCGAGACTCTCGAATCCGCCAATCTTCTTAACAATGGGACAGTGCACTTTACAGGCTGAAGAAAAAAAAATTCGAAAATTTAGGAAGTTATATAAATTGCAATTCGTCAGGAGAGCATTATTATCATCAAAATCAAATTTCCACTTAGATTTTGTTGAGGAAAGGAATAAAGCTTTATAGACATAAGATATTTAATTTATTTAATGTAAAATAATCAACATTTCATTTGAAATGTTGTTTTATAATTTACCATATTGAATCATATCATCTACAACTCCTTGTAATCTGTCGTAAAATCTGTGATCAAGATTAACTTTTACGTCAGTGGTTTCATTTTTATTAAAATCAGGTACATCACTCTCGAGCGTGAAGACTAAAGGAAATATAAACAGCATAAATTGCAGACCATAATCCAAGTATTCAACGAAGTCTGTTTCAAACTCTTTTCTTGGGTACACTGAACCTATGTCGATTTCAAAATATTTAAGGAAATTGTCCATTGTCTCGAAGTACATATCCTTCATGTGTATTAAATGATTCCTACGAAATTCTTTATCAGTGGCCCCAAAAACAAAATATATAAAATCAATTATTGGAGGTCCGTAGTGTAAGAGTTGAAAGTCCACAGGTATTACTTCAGTTACTTCACCTTCCTGTAAAATAAATATAGTTTAGATTTTATCTTTAATAAATAGGTTTCATTATTTTTTGAGTTTTTTTATTTACTTATATCCAAAACGGTTGTAACTTTTTGAATTGAATTCTTGTTTATAAGTACTAAAAATAATTATTTTCGAAATAAAAGTTCAATAAGCGTCATCAGCATTTAGCAACATACAGCAGCGTTCAAAATACTAATCTCTAAATATAAAAATAATTGCTGGTCGTTAGTCTCGCTAAAAAACTCAATAACGGCTCAGATGATTTTGATCAAATTTTTTGTGCGTGTTTGAGTTGGTCCTTGGATGGTTTAGATTCACAATTGGAGTCTGTAGGTGGGGCTGTTGAAGAATTTCAAAAATCGAACGCGCGAAGTCGGGGCGGGACGCTAGTAAAAAATAAATGTAGCCTATACAATATGCATTCCTAAATTGAAATTAATTGAAAATAAATTTTGCCTTACTCGCTCTGATAATGATACACTTGTAAAATGATATGCAAATCCATTGAGCTATTATGTACTACGTACTAGAGGAGACACTGCATTCAGTTACTCTGTTCTACTCAACTGCGGTGCATGCACCGCACTTTAATCAGTCACTCGTTAGGCGCTTGTAGAGTTGTCACGTGTTGTGTTGATTTAAAAAAATCTCTTGATAAAAATATGCCGTCTAGTGTACTTAGATATTGCACAAATAATTCAAGAAATGTCAGTAAAAACCAAGGAATTACTTTTCATCGGTTAATAAGATACTTAATAAAAAAGTATTAAGTATAAATTAATAATAAGACAAATTATTCCTAAGACGCCATCTTGTATCATGGAATATAGATTATGAAATTAATATGTTCAGATGCGACATTTGTGTGGGTACTTAATTATAGACCGAATATATTATTATACACATTTTTTTTTTGTAGAAACATATTTAAGTTATTGTAATTAGGCTAAATTTTTCATGTTTAAATCTGCTTATTATTCTTTTATTTTATTTTTAGGTTTCCACATCAAAATCAAAGTGGAATAAATTCGTCCATTTTTAACTTTCGCGTGCCCAGCATTTACGAACGATTATTTACAACATTTACGATTCTAATTTAAATAAATATATTTGTATTGATTAAAACTACTTTTACGGATTTTATCGCGTTTATTTTACTATTATTTTTAATTCCCGACGTTTCGGGCGCTTTCCAGCACCCATGGTCACGGGGGACTGAGATGACTGACGTTCCGATGTCATTGTTAAACCCGGAGTACCTTCAGCTTTTTTAATTATTGTTTATGGTCCGATCTATGCAAAATCAACTGACTATGTCCTGAGGTCTTGCAGTGGTATGCTTGGGTTTAGTTTTAATTTTTTTAATTTTTATCCTGTTCCACGCAATTGTTAATTTGCTACTTAACTCACTAATTGCCGTTCAAATGATATTTTCTATTTAACTCGCCAGGATCGCAAGTTAACTCGCTACTGTACTTGTCGGAGTGTAAATCGGCCTTAACTAAATGTAATTGTTTGCTATAGTGGGCTGAATACAGTATTTATCGCAAAATGAATCTGGGGGCACGGCAGTGCCCCCGCCAAGTCGAGCAAAAAAGCGGCACGGCTGTACCATACTTTTCTCGAAGCAATTCAGGCCATTTTCGACCTCCTATAACTTCGTAGTGGATAAAACTAGAAGCCTGAATTTTCAGTAACCGAGTAAACATTGTATTAACATGGTATATTTCAAATTTCATTCAATTTGAACTAGTAGTTTCATAAATATAACTAGTCAAAGTTTCTTAATTTTGTCTCTTATTGACTGCTCGATCATCAAAACTCTAAGGTACTTCATCAAAAACATAACTTGTAAAAAAACCAAGTCTCGCAACTCAGTTATTCTACCGTAAAAAGTTGTGAGATCCATGTAATACCAAGTCGGTTAATTTATTCAGTCCCTACTTAAAGGTCCTTCTGTTTTAAGTTATTACGTAATTAGCTAACCTAACAACATTTTATAGTGACCATATCAATGTTAAAAATCATTTATGTTTCAAATAAATAGATTGACTTGGCAATCGCACTAAGCAATCTAATTTAATATAATATATATTACTTGTGAGATACATTATGTTTTCTTGCGATGGCCAAGTCAATCTATTTATACGAAACATAAATGATTTTTAACATTGATATGGTCACTATAAAATGTTGTTAGGTTAGCTAATTACGTAATAACTTAAAACGGAAGGACCCTTAAATAGGGAGTGAATAAATTAACCGACTTGGTATTACATGGATCTCACAACTTTTTCGGTAGAAGAACTGAGTTGCGAGACATGGTTTTATTTACAAGTTATGTTTTTGATGTCATAAAATTCACTTCAAAGCAATAAATGAATGTCACACACGGCATTGGTTTTAAAAAAATCATAAAAGATTTATAATATATTAAATATAATAAAAGTACGTATGTAAATACGATAATAAATATAATTACCACTAATTTCATTAATACGTTGTTCATTCTGTAATCACCATGACATAAACACTTTACTTTCATTTCATCACCTTTTAAATATTTTATGTAATTTTCCAATAATTTGGGTAATGCTTGTTCTAATTTTTTCCTTACTTCTGTATCCAATCCCTCAACAGAGTAGTTGAAGAATGTTCTGCAGAAGGCTCGAAAATCGTCGTTTAATTTAAGAGATTGTTTAAGTGTTTTGATTTTTCTTTCAAAATACTCTGGCCTTTTCCGTTGTATGACAAAACTTAAACCATGGAACCTGGCCAGTTGTTGCACAGCCAATTCAGCAAACTTTAAAGGCATAACATCCATTCTATAAAAAGTAGCAAAACCTTCTTTTGCTACATTTTTCAGTATAATGGCTTCCGTGCTACTTTCATTATAAGATTGAACAACTCTGAACCTTTCATGTAAAGGCACTCCTGCTTCGATTTGAAGCTCTGTAAAAATTACACTAAGTTCTCTATATAAAAATAATTCCTTAAAATATAATTCAGAAATATTCGTTATCTTCAAGCACTCGTCCGATATAGTATATTTAATGAAAATATTCGTTTCTTTTTCTCCTTCACATGTTCTTCCTTTAATATCAACTTCGTAGAGTAGGGCCAAATAGTTTCCACCCTCCGTAGAAATAGTTCTATGCAATATTTCATGGGATAAGTAACCTTCTTCTTCCGCAATTTTGTTTATAGCTTTTTGTAAGTTAGCTGGTAATTTTTCTCTGTTTGAACACACTAGTTTCTGTAAGTTGAATTCGCAACATTGTTCTTCACCAGGCATTTTACAAGCAAAAAGTTTTATTCTCGAACCAAAACTAACAAGGCTATGGGAAAAAGTTAAGTGTTAAAATATAAAACTATGCCTAGAACGTGATGAATTATATAGACGCCTACGTTATTAGGACTATTCCACACTCACTGCTTTTACTTTTGATCTAATAACGCGATAATAGAAGAGTATTTTTATAAAAATAATAAACATCACAAAACCAACCGATATTCTCCTTGATAAAAACAAAAACCTTTCACAATCGGGAACTGATATTAAATGAAACGAAAACTCTTAATATTCCGACGTATTAAAAAAATTACTTAAAATATTTCAAAAACATTTTTACAATTATGTACACTCTTTTCTTATATTGTTTTGATCATAAATGTGTCAAAAAATGCCCAACTATTTATTTACAATAATTGTAATGAAGAAATTTATACACAAAGAGACTATTGGCTCTATCTATATATCTACTTATATCTATCTAAATATCTATATCACGACAATATAGAACTGCCTACGTAAATTACGTTACTAACTACGTATAATTAACTGGCCAGATATAATTGGGCATAATTTATTTTCACACTTAGTATGTTAGTAGCAAAATAGAAGAAATTGTCAAAAATATATTGTCTGCATCACAGTAACCTTATTGTGTTATATTTTATTACAACTTAAAACAAGATTTTCATATTAAAAGTGCATCAAGCTCTTCTGTCTCCAACTTATTTCGTTTGTACAAAGAATTTCAAAAACGAAATTCAATTTTGATTACAACGTAAGGCCAGATAGCACTGTGTAAAAATTCTAATTATTACTGACCGGGAAATTACGTATAGATACCTTCAAGAGATTTTAAGTATTGCTGCATTAAAATTAAATTCTGAACGAAGATTTATAAGTAAAAATATATGATCTCTATATCGTCAACTTTCTTAATAAAAGACAGTGAACTGCGCGGGTAAGTTAGTGTAAAATAAAATGTTAAATAAGTATGACTCAGGGTGTCAAATTGGCGCTAGTTTTGTTGTCAAAGGGGACGGAATATGATTATATCTCTTCGATGTTCACAATGTAACTAATTTAAAAACTATGAATGAATGAATATGAGATGGCACGAATTGTGGTTAAATAACTGACATCAATTAAGAAAAGAATGATTACAGAATTCTTTGCTAAAAGGGGTCTTATAAAAATATTACTCTTGGATTCATAGGAGACCTCTTTATCAGACAGACTCATCTCTAGATTTTTAAAACTTTTTTGTTTAAATATTGCTACCTCCTCGGCAAGGGCAGACCGTGAAACAATAGAAAAAATGTAAATTGTAGGTGACAGAAACGCGGGTAATTTTAACATTTCGTAACGGACAAGGATACGTAACGCACGAAATTTGAAAATGGAATTATTTCCCTGGACGAATCTATTTCATGCGCGACTCGCACGTTGACTTCTTACTTACTTGAGTTTTATTTGCAGCGCAACTTTATTGAAAAACCAGCGACACGATATAGGGTTATTTCAATTTCAAAATAATGAAAGACTATATGTTTATTGTATCACCATCACTTTTTATAGAATTCAGATAAAATAGAACAATGCCCTCTATCTGTTCGTTAATTTTCATTAAAATCAATTCGGCCATTTGGAAGATTACCGTGAACAGACAGAAAGACAAGCAGAGAAACAAACAAACAGGCAAAAAATTAAAATTATTATGCTTCTGATAACAGCATTCCAATAGCCCCCTTAGCTCAATATAAGAAAATAATTTCAATATTGAACTGACAATTTAATTATAATTATATGTATGTATAGATTTATAGAATATGGAAGACATATTATTTGCACAAAGATTACGATATAGTTGCTACATTGATTAATCTATTACAACTCTGAGGCCTAAGAAAAAATGCCTCATAGCCTCTAATAATACTGACTTTCCAAACTTTTATCCGAGAGAAACAGCAATGCAGATATTATTATTTAGTTGCATAAATCGTAAAGACGTTGTTACTCACGCAGGCGGATTTCTGGGCAGAATAGAAGTTTAAACAATTACTAGGGCTTGATACACGCAAATTTGTTTGCCTCAGGTTATAAATATATAACGTGAGGGTAATATGGTCATCCGGTTAAAATTGTCACTTTCTAATAACTCAAAAACTACTATCTTGTTACAGGTGAAATTGTAGAGGATATTATAGTAAATAAAATTGTTTGGCGAGTTTTTTACCTTGCGATTAGTGATTTAGGACTCCTTATAAAAAATACTATTAGGTTCTTGGAATAGGGCCTGTGCTTCTATATATTTAGATTCTGCTTTTCAAACGAATTGTTCTTTCTTTTTTATTCTAATTGTGCTATTTACTATAATTTAAAAAAAAATGTTATGGTGAATACATCCCTAGCTAAGCTCTGTATGTCTTACGTCTCATTTGTTTGTTTAAATTTAAGACTTAAAGATAATTGCCTTTGTTAAGTACGTAATCCCTGAGTTAACATTATATTATCATTCCTCTTTTACATTTATATTACGGTAATATCATATCTGTTTTTATATCTACACTTTCAGAACTACGTACGACAAACGCAGTTGATATTCGACAGTACTCATATTACCACCGTGACGGTAACCAATCCGTAAAATTATCACTAAGCTAGCATACAGAGACCACTTCTTATATCCTGATGCTAACAAGACTGAAGCCATATTTTTAAGTGAAACTTCTTTAGACCCAACTTGAGGGTACTTTGAATGTTTTTTCGATTTCAGATTATCTAGTTGATTACTATCAATATTATTATCTGATGGAAACCAAACGAATTTAATAGCATTTACCATAACATCCCCTTACGTCTCCCACAGGATGTGATGAGGGTGATGGATTATCTCACACTATCACCACTATCCCAATATCTTGTCTATCATAAGATGTACAAATAAGAAATTCTAAAAATTAAAAGGTTGAAGTATGTTAGTTAATGCTTAATTTTGTTAAAGTGCGATACGTAAGCTTACTGTTTTTGTAAGCAATATTTATATGTATCGATATATATTGAATAAAAGTTTTCCATTTGTATGACTTGAAAATTGTTCACAACAATTTCTAAGATTTACGGCAATAGTTGTTGTGGGAAACATATTTGGGAATACATTTTCCACTTTCAAAGAATAACGTTATGATTTTATTTTATTGACAAAATATGTGATAATAATGGAAAATCCAAATCTATGTTGAGGATGAGACTTCTGAAAGATTAAGTTTTGTGAGTGCTGGCGGTGAAAGTGTATTTTTTTCTCATTTTTTATAAGATCTATTGCAGCTCTTACTCGTATAACAAAAAAAATCCGATAAACAGTGCTTAGCCCCTGAGCTATCATTGCTACTTAGTCATTAGTAAATAAGTTTATGAACCAACCTAACCAAATTAATTAGGAATGAAATGTTCCAGCCTATAATTAACAATTTAATTGTTTCAATCAGGAAAGGAACCCAGACTGCTTTCACGAGCAACCTGGGTTGAAAGTTTACTAATTGGTTGAGCGACGGGCCTAGCGATTCCCGAGTTCGATTCCCAGGTCGAGCCTTGACCCTATTGTGCGAGATGTTACTAGGTGGACTGTGTACGCGGATGGCTTCTTATGCCTCAACAAGATGGTGGACGTGCCACGCGGCAACCTTGAACAATGCACCCGCTCTTCCAAATCTATTGCTTCGCCAAAGTCGGGAGGAAGTTCTACTTGAGCCGATAAGGAGAAAAAAAATGGGGCAGGTTAGCTGACAAATAAAAGGCTCAAGTGGGAGCAAAATTAAAGGAAACACACTTACCAGGGTGTGATTCTGATGCTGCGGACGACGCTTCTGTTGCGGTGGTGCGTTGAAAGGGGAGCTGGCGCGACGTGAGGTGGTTTCTTCTGGGACGCCCCAGAGATGCGATCCAGACTAGCGGTGCGAAGCAAGAGCGGATCACGACGAATTCTCACACTATGTGAGGCGGTAACTTCAGGGGCGCGACTGCCCCAGAGGATGCGGTTGAAACTAGCGGTGCGAACTAAGAGGACGCTCGAGGGCGGCGCGCGAACCTTTATTAGGTCGGCTTTCCCACCACCTCATCTCGGTGGGGCGCGCGTTTTATTGGTCGAAAGAATCGCATCACCTTTTAGATCCCTCTCCCTCCCCCTTTAGTGTGTACGGAAGGGATATGAGGTTTAGGAAGGACAAACACTTGGCCAGCAATACCCTCGAACGAAATTACAAATACACGAATTATTTCCCGTAACCACTAATAATAATAATTTCGTGAATTTACAGAACTACTACAGTTTTTGCGTACTTCACTGTTTTTACTCTCATGGACAAATTTAGAGGAACGCAGGAAAAACATTGACTTATTTACTTACTAGCGTAAGGTCCGGGCAAAATAAGCATATTGACCTTACTAGCGTAAGGTCCGGGCCAGCTGAACAACTAAAACGGACTAGTGCGTTGGCCCTAAAATTAATTAAGTAGTACGCGCGCAGGACAGATTTGTCTGTCATAAATATGTCAAGCTGCGTGGTAAAAGAATGCAAAAATTACGATACGAAGATTAAAAAGGAACATGGTCGCATCATCGGTTAATAACCCTGTATTAATTTTGTTACAATTAAATTATTTAGGTACGTTACCAATATTAGGCCAGGGTTGGATTCAGACCCTCAAAAATATTGTACATGAAAAATAAAATTATACTATTTAAAAAAATTATATCACGTTAGACATTTCATGTTTCTTTTTCCCATGTGGCGTGATTTTGGCGTCACGCGTCTGGTTTATATATACGTTTCGTTTTTGACGGTATTATTTTTATTTCTGTTTTATTTTTGTCTAAAAAACTTATAATAAGCTTAATTTTGAATATTGGTACCTAATATATTTTATATTCAGTAAGGGTAAAACAAAAAGAGTATAAAAGAAACCATATTTGCTTAATTGAATCTGAAAATCTGATTCATAAAA